CAGGAAGGGGGACAAAACATAAAAGACTCTTAAATATGGAGAACAGAGGGTTACTAGAGGGGTTGTGGGCATTAAGGAATGGGTTAGGGGCATTAAGGAATCTACTCCTGAAATCACTGTTGCACTATATGCTAACTAATTTGGATGTAAATTAAAAAATGAAATATAATTAAAAAAAGAAAATGTTGTATATGTATTCAATGGAATACTACTCAGCAGTCAAAAAGAATGAAATCTTGTCATTTGCAACAACATGGATGGAACTGGAGGGTATTATGCTAAGTGAAATAAGTCAGAGAAAGACATGTATCATATGATTTCATTCATATGGGGAATTTGAGAAACTTAGCAGATGACCATAGGGGAAAGGAAGGAAAAATAAGATAAAAACAGAGAAGGAGGCAAACCATAAGAGACTCTTAAATACAGAGAACTGAGGGTCGATGGGTTTGGGGGTTTGGGAGATGTGGGATAAATGGGGTGATGGGTATTAAGGAGGGCATTTGTTGGGATGAGCACTGGGTGATATATGTAAGTGATGAATCACTGGGTTCTACTCCTGAAGCCAAGACTATGCTGTGTGTTAACTAACTTGAGAATAAAATATAATAATAAAAAGCAGACAAAATAATTACCTTAATCTTTTTATTTTTTAAGTTTGTATTTTTATTCCAGTTAGTTAATATACAGTGTAATACTAGTTTCAGGTGTACAATTTCATGATTCAACACTTACATGCATCACCCAGTGCTCATCACAAGGGCACTTCTTAATTCCCTTCACCTATTTAACTCATCCCTCCACCCACCTCCCCTCTGGTAACCATCTGTTTGTTCTCTATAGTTAAGAGTCTGTTTCTTGTCTTTTTTTTTTTGTCCTATGCTCATTTGTTTTGCTTCTTAAAATATACATATGAGTGAAATCATATGGTATTTGTCTTTGTGACTGATTTACTATGCTTAGCATAATACTCTCTAGCTCCATCCATGTCATTACAAATGGCAAAATTATATTCTCTTTATGGCAGAGTAATATTCCACATACATGCATGCCACATCTTCTTTATTCATTCATCAGTTGATGGACATTTGGGCTCTTCCCATAATTTGGCTTGGCTATTACTCATAATGCTGCAACAAACACTGAGGTGCATGTATCCTTTCAAATTAATATTTTTGTATTGTGGGGGTAAAAACTTAGTAGTGCAATTGCTGGATTGTTCTATTTTTAACTTTTTGAGGAACTTCCATACTGTTTTCCAGAGTGGCTGCACCAGTTTTCTTTCCTACCAACATTGTAAGGGGGTTCCACTTTCGTAACATCCTTGCCAAGGCTGTTGTTTCTTGTGTTGTTAATATTTTTAGAGATGGTTCTTATGAAGAAATAGGAGACACATTTTAGCTGGAAAATAAGTGCTAAAGGTACACAAAGTTTAAAGATTGAGATGATGGAAATATTGGTTTTAAAATAGGTTATCAATCAGAACAAAACCTTATCATTGACAACACAAGTCAGCCAAGGGGAAAAAAGGCTTAATTTGTTTATTTTCATCAGTAATGTGAAGAAGATAGGCAAATAACTTAGATTACACCAACTTAGACTTTGGAAGAAATTACAGAAATATGAAACATGTGCTCCCTTATACTAAGACACAAACATTCTGTGGTAACAGCTTTTATATAGGAACAAATCATAAGTATTCATGCATCTGAGGGGCTGATTATGAATAAATAATTTAGGCAAATAGCAGCATTGGTCAGCTGTGACATGCTGTGGTTATTCCCTATCCTTACAGAATGTTCTAAGACTGAGAACAATTCTGTTCCTCTCCAGCATGAGAATGATGCCTATGTATGTAGCTAAGCTAAAGGCCAAGGACAGCATTTAAGAGCACACCTGATGCAAACCATATATATTCCAAGGTAATGGGTGCTATGACCATTATTTCCTTGGGCTAAGGATGAAGGGAATGTAGACCCAAGCATTGGTACTATTTCTGTCATTTTCTTCATAACCACAACCTAATATACAAGCATCTATCATTTTAGCTATCTAAATGCCTTTGGTAAATATTTATTAATTCTGTTGAATCATGTTCATGGCTAGATAGAAATGAAATAAAAAGAGTATAAATCACTAAATTTTAGAAATTTCAAGCACATGGTTTATATCAGAGATAAGAATCAAAATTCAGTAAAGGATCTTGCAATTAATCGATTGTCATCAATATGTGGAATATTTAGGGACAGTAGGGTGGTTCAGTTGGTTAAGTGTCTGACTCTTGATTTTGGCTCAGGTCATGATCTCACAGTCATGGGATCCAGCCACACATTGGGCCTCCATGTGGGGTTTGGACCCTGTCAGGATTCTCTCTCCTTCCCTCTCTCTCTCTCTGAGCTTCCCTGCCCCCCATCTTTCTCTCTCAAATTACAGAAATAAACATTTTCAAAACATATATGTGGGATATTTAGGGAGAGATAGTTTTGCACATCCAAGTAAAATGTGGCCTAGAAAATAGATTTCTGTTTTGCTAGGGATGTACAAAGGGGAAGTGACATCTGCCAGAGACGCAGCACTACAACCCAATGGATGTCACATTGGTGAGAATGAAGACGATGATTCTCTGAAGACTTCCATGCCAAGGCCATATAATTTTTTTATCTTGATATTTTCATTCTGCACATTGTCTCCCTCAGAGCCTGGTGGACCTGCTTGTTCCGCAGAGTGTAGATGACAGGATTCAACAGCGGGGTCACCACTGTGTTCACAAGGGCAGCCTCCCTGTTGGAGTCCAGCTTGTTCATTTGCTTTGGTTTCACGTATATAAAGACACAGCTGCCGTATATCATGGAGAGGACAATGAGGTGAGACGAGCAGGTGGAAAAAGCTTTCTGTCGCTCCTTGGCTGATGGGAGTCGCACAATTGTGACTACTATGTTGCTGTATGCGATAACGGTTATGATAAGGGATGTCAAAAGGATCAACGAAGCAAGGACAAAGACCAACATTTCAACAGACCTTGTATCAGAACAGGAGAGATGAATCAGGGCACCAAGGTCACAGAAGAAGTGGGGAATGACATGGGGGCCACAGAAGGATAACTGGGAAACCTTTACTACCAGACTAGTGATGAGAGTGAAGGCCAAAACACAGCAGGCAGTGACCAAGAGGAAGCAAGTCTTGAGGTTCATGATGGTTGGGTAATGCAGAGGCTTGCAAATGGCCATGTACCGATCCACAGACATCACTGCTATGAGGAGGAAACCTGCTGCTCCCAGATAGACAAACACAAAGGCTTGTATGAAACAGGCAAGAAAGGAAATGGTTTGCCGGCCTAAAAGAAAGATGACCAGCAACTTAGGAATAACAGCACTTATGAAACAACACTCAAAGAAGGAGAAAGTGCTGAGGAAAAAGTACATAGGTGTCTGGAGCCGGGAGTCAGCACAGGTGATGGTGACTATGACAGCATTGCCTGTAATGGATGCCAGGTAGGCCAGCAGGTGCACCAGGAAGAGGACCTTTCCCAGGTGTTGGATGGCAGGAAACCCCTCCAAGGTGAATTCTTGGACGGTGGTCCCGTTCCCCATTTCCATGGGCATCTCTTTCCACAGCATCATCCCTGCTGGTCTTAACCCAAAATCAGCAACCACAAGCTTTTAGAGGAGCATGCTTAAGGTATTTGCCTATCCAAGAAGATGGCTAGACTGATGGCTAAGTAGTTTAGTCAATTGGTTCTTGAATCAGATGGACCTGAATTCAATACTAGTTCAACAGTGTGTTCTAACCCCTGAGATGGGTCATCTTTGGAAAGTTAGCTAACCTTGTGAACTTCATTTTCACCCTCAGCAAAATGAAACTGATAAGATCTACCTGTTCATGTTCTTGTGAGAATTAAAGCGTGTAACTCACTTGACATATGATGCTAATGTTTCCTGTTGCTCCTCAAGTCTAACTGTAATGCTATGATCTTTAATATAATGCTTAAATATAGCATCAGCCGTAGGCAAGGTTATTGACATTTTTGTAGTTATATATTTTATTGTTTTTAATGATATTATCAGTTTGTAAGTAAACATAAGAGTAATGTTAGTAACATTCCCTTTGAATATCCCTTTTAATAATGCAACACATTCTGTTGTCCAAGCTGTCATCATCATCATCTGTTGAGGATCCATGCTTGTTCTGTGTTGGGTCATTGAAATTCAGTATTTCTATGACTCTTCACAATAACCATGAACCCCTTATTTTATAGAAGCAGAAACTGAGGTTTAGAGAGTTCCAGAGAACTTGGGTCACATAGCTGGGACTTTAGCCAGAATACCTGACTCCAGAGTACCTGCTGTTTCCAAATGCGGTGACAAAATATTTTAAAATGGGAGTAAATTTATTGTTGATGATTTCTTAACCTTAAGTGAAAGATTAGCTTCATAGCTTACTTGTTTCTACCCTTAGTTATAATCACTGATGAGTTACTGGCCTGTGGAATGACACAGGGCTTAGAGAGCATCTACTTTAGCTCAAGAATTTTATAGAAGAAACTAGAGACCAGAGACATTGGGTGCTGCTCAACAACAGGACATGAACTGTAAGTCCAGAATTGACCACCCACCCCTTGGGTTCATGCTGGCCTGTGAGGGCGGTGGGACTGACAGTAGGTCACAGGATTAACCTACTTAAGAGGATATTCTGGGAACCTGGCACACATACACTGACTCTTCCATGAAACTCAGTGAACATTCTTCTCTCTTCAGTCCTCTCAATCAATGACTTTTCTTAAGATGGTGTTTGGCTCTAGTATCTCAAAAATAGGCTAAACACTGGGAGTGTGGAATGTGTCACTCTCACTAACCCACTGTGGGCCAGATCCCCTAAAGTGCTGCTTGTGAAACCCAAGTGCTTACCCCCAGCCTGAAGGAGCTTCTGCTTCTGTTCCAGTTGTCCCCAGTAAGTCCACAAATCACCACGGTCCCTGAGGCCAGTCACACATAGGAGTCACCTCATGGCAGGCAGGACTTCCTCCTCTTGCAACTATTATCTTCCAAGAAATGGAGAGCTTGCTGTGGGCTGAGAGGAAAGGAGAGAAGTAAATGCATTTATCATAGCCTGTTGTCCTACAGTAGGGTGAATATGCATCCCATGTTGCCAGTGTCTGGCTGACAAAGCCCTCTTTCTATAGCCCAAAATGTTTCATACCACAGCAAGGCTACATGGCAGCCTTGACCACTGAAACCCCAGAAAGGAGCAGCTGGAGTAAAACAACCACATTTCACTACCGCCAATTCTGGGCTAGAGCTGGAATCTCAGACTTAGGGTTCTTCTCCCAAGTGGGTAAAAGTCCGCCTAACATGCAACATTGTGGTCTACCTCATTCACCGGCTTCTTATAGGTTTATCCCTGGGTCCTGAGACAAGGTCCTTCTGCCATAGTGCTCCACTGTCACTGGTGCACCTGCTCCAAGATACCTTGTACTCCACTATGCTCCTCCATCATATCTTCACCTTTCCATATAGAGAAGCATCCTTGTTTTACTGCATTGACAATGAGAATCTGCTGACATGCAAGTCTGAGGCTCTCTGATATTTTTTATACAAGACTGGTCACCAAACAGGATGGACCCAGCCAGTGAGCAGAGAGTGCAGCCCCCTAATTTTACTAGATGATGAAGACACAGGGGCAGAAAGTAAAGGCACGGCTGGTGTCCTGGGGGCAGCTAATTGGTCACTGTTGAGAACAAGTTACTAGGGCAACCCTTATTTATCTTATTTATCTTCTCATTATTTATGGTGACACTGATTCCCAGATGTCCACACTGTTCTCTGCCAAGAGTTTTCAAGAAAACTATATGACAATTTCCCAAGGGTTTCTAAAATCCCAAGCTGAATGTTGCTACTAATTTGAGGTACAAGTCCAGAGTACAATTTTCTACATGTGGTGTATGCCAGAGCATACACCCTGGCTTTCATCAGTCTTTTGGGAAGATACTGGTGAAGTCCACCTTTCTTGGTCAATCATTCTTCATGCTTCTACCAATGTTATGATTCTTTTCATTGCATATTTTCATCTAAAAGATACCTTAATTTTGTTCCACAATCTCCTTGAAAAGGAAAGCACACACTTCTTCCTCTTCGGGGAAGAAAAGGAATACTTGGTGATTTCTATAAAATCTCTAGCCTGGCAGGACCCTCTCTCTTTGAAAGTATCTGGGAAGTGGATCCTCAGATTCTTTCTAGATGGAATAGAGGAAGAGATGTGAGCCTTAGGGTGGAGAAGCTGTATCCATAGCAACGATTGGCTTGAAAAACTGCTTCCTCTCCTCGGTACCTCAGCTAGGCTGCAGTGGCAGGAGTGATCCATTTTTCCGTGGCCTTGGCTTCCCATTGAAATACAGAGAAGTGGACTACACTCCCAAATGTATTTGCAGGCAACCCTGGGGTATATGGTAGCTGTATGGAAATTTGTTCTGCTTGAATCTTCCCTCATAAGTATTGAACTTACAAGGTCAAGACAAATATTACAGAAACTTTCCCGAGTTTCATGTGGGTTCCACCTTCCCACTAATAGACAAAATCGTTTTTATAACATCTCTCCATCAACACACTTTGCTTTCAATCCAGGCCAAACCTGGACTCCATGGTAATATTCCTGGTTGGAAGTTAGGAAAAATAAAGAATATGGGAGATGAGTTACAGAAGCCGGAGCAAAGCGAGACTATACATTTTAATGCTCAGATAAAGGATCCTTTGCATGGGGTATTAATTTTATTCAGTGCCATATTCATGGTGCAGAAATACCTTACACCTGGGGAGCACTAATGCCAACATGACAGTGGGAGGGTGGGAGGAGAGGGTCTCCATGTGGTTTGATGGAAAGGTTTAGAAAGGGGACACTCAAAGAAATGAGCTGAACTAACTACACTTTGTATCTAGCATAAGGGGTGGTGAACTGACACCAACAAATATTTCAAATTGTTCCACTTTTCTGGATAGTGCCTTCATGGCTCTCCAATACCAGTATTTCTTCATGTTTTTTGATGCAGTCTCAATGCAATATTTTTGCTTTTTTTACCTTGCCTCAGCAACATTTCTAGAAAGAAATTGCTATGGCCTATGTCAAAGAGGTAACTGCCTGTATTCTCCTCTAGGATTTAATGGTTTCCTGTCCCACGTTTAGATCATTCATCCATTTTGAATTTATCTTTTTGTATGGTGAAAGAAGGCGGTGCAGTTTCATCCTGTCGCATGTTGCTGTCCAGTTTTCCCAAACACCATTTGTTGAAGAGACTGTCTTTTTTCCATTGGCTATTCTTTCCTGCTTTGCCAAAGATTAATGGACCACGTAGTTGTGGCTCAGTTCTGCATTTTCCATTCTGTTCCATTGATCTATGTGTCTATTTTTGCTCTATTACCATATTGTTTTGATTACTACAGCTTTGTAATATAACCTGAAATCCAGAATCATGATGCCCCCATCTTTACTTTTCCTTTTCAAGGTTGCTGTGGCTATTATGGTTCCATACAAATTTTAGGATTGTTTGTACTAGCTCTATGAAAAATACTGTTGGTAATATCATATGGATTACATTAAATGTGTAGATTCCTATAGGTAATATAGACATTTTAACAATATTTGTTTTTCCGATCCATGAGCATGAATGTCTTTCCATTTCTCTGTGTCCTTTCAGTTTTCTTCATCAGTGTTTTATAGTTTTCAGAGTACAGGTCTTTCACTTCTTTGGTTGGTTTATTCTTCAGTATCTTATTGCTTTTGTTGCATTGGTAATGGAATTGATTTCTTAATTTCTCTTTCCCCTGCTTCATTATTGGTGTCTAGATATGCCACAGATTTCTATACTTTGATTTTGTATCCTGCAATGTTACTGAATTTGTAAGTCAGTTCTAGCAATTTTTTGTTGGTGTCTTACAGGTTTTCTCTATAGAGTATCATGTCACCTGCAAATAGTGAAACTTTGTCTTCTTCCTTGCCAATATGGGGGCCATTATTTCTTTTTGTTGCCTGATTGCTGAGGCTAGGATTTCCAGTACAATGTTAAAGAACAGCAGTGAAAGAGGACATCGCTGTCTTATTCTTGATCATAGAGGAAAAGCTCTCAGTTTTTCCCCATTGAGGTTCATATTAGCTGTGGGTTTTTCATATTTGGCCTTAAAATGTTGACGTATGTTCCCTCTTACCCTACTTTGTTGAGGGTTTTTATTATGAATGGATGTTGTACTTTGTCAAATGCTTTTTCTGCATCTATTGAGAGGATCGGATGGTTCTTATCCTTTCTTTTATTAATATTGTATATCACATTGATTTGCAAATATTGAACCACCCTTGCAGCCCCAGAATAAATCCCACTTGATTGTGGTAAATGATTCTTTTAATGTATTGTTGGATTCAATTTGCTATTATTTTATTTAGAATTTTTGTTTTTGTTTTGTTTTGTTTTAAATATAATTTATTACCAAATTGGCTCACATACAACACCCAGTGCTCATCCCAACAAGTGCCCTCCTCGATGCCCATCACCCATTTTCCCCTTTCCTCCCACACCCATCAACCCTCAGTTTGTTCTCCGTATTTAAAAGTCTCTCATGGTTTGCCTCCCTCCCTCTCTGTTTGTAACTATTTTTCCCCCTACCCTTCCCCCATGGTCTTCTGTTAAGTTTCTCAAGATCCACATATGAGTGAAAACATATGATATCTGTCTTTCATTATTTAGAATTTTTGAATCCACGTTCATCAGGGACATTGGCCTGTATTTCTCCTTTTTAGTGGAATCGTTGTCTGGGTTTGGTGTCAAGATAATGCTGGCCTGATAGAATGAGTTTGGAAGTTTTCCTTCTATTTCTATTTTTGGAACAGTTTGAGAAGAATAGGTGTTAATTCTTCCTTAAAAGTTTGTTAAAATTCACCCGTGAAGACATCTGGCCCTGGAATTTTTTGTTGGGAGACTTTTTTTTATAACTGATTCAAATTCTTTGCTGGTTATCAGTCTGTTCAAGTTTTCTATTTCTGCCTGCTTCAGTTTGGGGTGTTTATATGTTTCTAAAAATTTATCCATATCTTCCAGATTGTCCAATTTATTGGAATATAATATTTTGTAATACTGTCTTCTTTTTTGTTGTTCTAAAAAATGTGATTTATTTTATTTTTAAATGTTTATTTATTTTCAGAGAAAGTGCATGCTCATGAGCAGGGGAGGGGCAGAGGAAGAGAGAGAATCCCAAGCAGGCTTCACACTGTCAGTGCGCAACCTGATGTAGGGCTCTATCTCATGAACCATGAGATCATGATCTGAGCCAAAATCAAGTGTTGGACGTTTAACTGACTGAGCACTCCCATAATATTCTCTTCTGGATGTTTATATTTCTGTGGTGTTGGTTTTTATTGCTCCTCTCTCATGTGTGATTTTATTTATTTGGGTACTTTCTCTTTTCTTTTTGATAAGTCTGGCTGAAGGTTTATCAATTGTACTAATTTTTTCAGGGAACCAGCTCCTAGTTTCACTGATGTGTTCTACTCTTTTGGGGGCTTTTCTATATCATTTACTTCTCCTGTAATCTTTATCTCCCTGCTTTTGCTGGCTTTAGGTTTCATTTGTTGTTCTTTTTCTAGTTCCTTTAGGTGTAAGATTTGGCTGTTTATTTGAGATTTTTCTTGACTCTTGAGTTAGGCCTGTATTGCCATATAATTTCCTCTTGGAATTGCTTTTGCTGCATCCCAAAAGTTTTGGACCACTGTGCTTTCATTGTAATTTGTTTCCATATATACTTTTTAAATTTCTTTTTAAATTTCCTGGTTGACCCATTCATTCTTTAGTAGCATGTTCTTGAACCCCCATGTATTTGTGGGGTTTCCAAACTTTTTCTTGTGGTTGACTCCAAGTTTTGTAGTATTGTGCTCAGAAAAAAAATGCGTGGTATGATTTCAATCTTTTTGTGTTTGTTGAAGTCTGATTTGCTACCACTGTGTGATCTATTCTGGAGAATGTCCCATTTGCACCTAGTCTCTTTGTATTTGTTGAGGCCTTACTTGTGACCTAATATGTGATGGATTCTGGAGACTATCCCATTTGCACCGAAAAGAATGTGTATTCTGCTGTTGTAGGATGGAATGTTGTGAATATTTCTAAGTCCATCTGGTCAGTGTATCATTCAGAGCCATTTTTTCTTTGTTTATTTTCTGTTTAGATGATCTGTACATTGATGTAAGGGTGGTGTTAAAGCCCCTTACTATTACTGTATTATTACCAATGAGTTATTTTATGGTTGTTATTGTTTTATATATTTGGGTGTCTCCATGTTGGGTGCATGAATAGTTACAACTTTTATATCTCATTGTTGGATTGTCCCCTTTGTTATGATATGGTGCCCTTTTTCATCTCTTGCTAGTCTTTGTTTTAAAGTCTATTTTGTCGATATAAGTATTGCTACTCAGGCTTTCCTTTGATTTATATGCATGATAAAGGGTTCTCCATCCCCTCACTTTCAATATGCAGGTGCCTTTAAGTCTAAAATGAGTCTCTTCTAGGCAGCATATAGGTGGGTCTTGCTTTTTGATCCATTCTGGCTCCCTATGTCTTTTGGTTAGAGAATTTAGTCCAATACAGAGTAATTATTGATAGATATGTATTTAGTGACATTTTATTACTTGATTTGTCATTGCTGTTGGAGATTCTTTCTCGTCTTTGTCACTTTTGGTGTTTCTTTACACTCAAAGAGTCCCCTTTAATATTCCTTGCAGGGCTGGTTTAGTGGTCACGAACTCCTTTAGTCTTTGTTTGTCTAAGAAACTCTTCATCTCTCTTTCTATTCTGAATGATAGCCTTACTGGATAAAGCATTCTTGACTGCATATTTTTCCCATGCAGTACTATAAATACATCATGCCACTCCCTTCCAGTTGCCAAGTTTCTATTGAGAAATCTACAGCTAGCCTTATGAGTCTTCCCTTGTAAGTTAAGGACTTCTTTTGTCTTGCTGCTTTTAGGATTTTTTTTAATTGCTGTATTTTGCAAATTTAACCACAATACATCTTGGTGTTGGCCTACTTTTGTTTATTTTGATGGGAACTTTCTGTGCCTCCTGGATTTGGATATCTGTTTCTTTCCCCAGATTAGGGAGATATTCAGCTATTATTTCCTCAATTTTCTGCCCCCCTTTCTCTCTCTTCTTCTTCTGGTACTCCTATAATATGAATGTTATTGTGTTTGATGAAGTTGCTGAGTTCCCTAAGTCTATTCTCATATTCTATAATTTTTTACTTCTCTATTTTGTTCAGCTTATTTTCCATTATTTTGTCTTCTATATCACTAACTCATTCCTCTGTTTTTTCCAGCATACTGTTCATTGCATCAAGCCTGTTTCCAATCTCAGGTTTTGCATTCTTCATTTCTGACTGATTCTTTTTTAACAGTGTGAATTTAAGGTGGTGGGCAAGTGAATCTAATTAGTGTAAAGGGTGGATTGAAGAAGACACTGCTAGGCCCCACCCATATTACCTTGGATTCAACTTGACAGGCAGCCTATAGGTTGTTTACTATAAATTCCTGCAAACTCTGTCAGTGCACTATTTTTGGCCCTGGGAGCACATTTTTCTGTGCATAAGACAAGCCAGAAGGGCTAGCGAAAGAACACTCCCACAAGCAATCCTCAATGGATGATGGGTTGCAGAATTGTTATATACATACCCCATCTTCTTTTCTTCTGGGTTTGAATAATTCATAAGAATGTATTATACTGCTACACAGAATTCCACAGTGAGATTGGGCTCCAATTTCCCAGAAGGGTAACTGGCTTGGTAATACACAATTCTTTTTACTATAGCACTTTCCCTCCTCCCTACTGGTCATTCATGGAATAAACTCTCCAGTAAACTACTTGTCTTCAAATTCTTGCTTCTGGGTCTGCTTCTGGAGTAACTCAAACCAAAACATTGAATTTTTTTCAACTCCCTAGTTTATTTCTCCTGAAATTGACACCTTCTCTGCAAATTGTATACCTACTAATACTAAGAAGTTTCCTCTGTGAATCAATCCTTCAATTTTCATGGGCTGTCATATGAGAAACATCTTTAACAAAGTAATACTTTTCATTCTAAAATAACTGGTTTCAAGGAGTTCATTAAGGACTTTCTGTTCCACCGAGGTGAAATAACCCTTTCCCCCCCAGGTCTTCCCTCTTTAAATTAGAATACCCTGGACATAACACAACAAAGAATGATAGAAAGATTCTGAAAAATAGAAAGAAGATAGTAGATGGCCTAGGGACCTTGGGACTTGAGGAATGATATGGCAGTCGTTTCCCTGGGTTTCTTTATTGCCTTTCTTTTTTTTAAAATTTTTTATATTAAATATAATTTATTGTCAAATTGGTTTCTATACAACACCCAGTGCTCATCCCAACAGGTGCCCTCCTCAATGACCATCACCCACTTTCCCCTCTCCCCCACCCTCCATCAACCCTCAGTTTGTTCTCAGTATTTAAGAGTCTCTTATGGTTTTCCTCCTTCCCTCTCTGTAACTTTTCCCCTGTCCCCTCCTCCGTAGTCTTCTGTTAAGTTTCTCAGGATCCACATACTGAGATACCTCATTGCCTTTCATATATCCCAGACAGGGTGCTTCAGAAGCCTCCAACTCAGAACCGACAGATTCTTTTAAATAGTTAAAAAAAAAAAAAAACTTTTCCCCCTAACCCAAACTTGGAGAAGAATGCCCTAATAACAGAATTTTTATCAATACTAACCCTACTCCATCCAAATACCAACAGAAAAACCATACCTCTTCTAGTGGCTTCATCTGAGTCGAGCAAGGAGTATCTTCCCTGCTCATTCATGATAAAAAACAAAAATAAACTCATAATAAGCTAGGAGTACACGGTAACTACCTCAACTTAATAAATAGCATCTACAAAAATACCTAGAGGCTCATCTCCTACACTAGTCTGGTTCATGAGGTCAGGCTATGAAAATTGGAAGAGGTGGCTATTTTATCTAATGCACAGAAACCAAAAGCAGAGAATTCTCAGGAGTTCCCTGCCTTTAGATTAGGTTCAGAAATTATATTCTTCTTTGGAGAAAGGAGGGACATAGACACAACAGTCCTTGGAAGACCATAACCCCCAGGACAGTTTATAATCAGACCATTCCCAGACATAAAAATCTAAATCACTCAACATTCTTTGAAGGTCTAAAGTTCTTCCTAATCAGAATATGCCTTAAATATAAGGAATTCTCAAATCAAGCAGGAAAGGAATATACACAATCAAATCAGACACAGTAAAAATCAAATGCACACCATGTACATGTCGTGTCAGATGTGACAGGTACTACTTCCCATTAGGGCCAATTGTCTTCAGTGGGGAGGGAGCCACCTACTCCAAGAAGCTACAAACACAATAACTGACCCAATTTTAATCCATTTTTAAATTATCAATGCATTCATTTCCCTTTTAAACTTTCCTAATTATCAGTTCTGTTACTTTGCTGCATAAAATGTTGACCATAATTTAGCTTAACCTGAAAGATGGTGGCAGCTCCCACACCTAAAATCACACTGGGAGAAAATATCTCTTACATGTGGGGAGAGAATCTGGTAGTGGGATCACCTATTTTTCAGTAACCTACTGGGACCAAGGCTTGGCAATATCAATTACAGGGGGAAAGTTGAACAAATTAAAAAGTTTTGCCTTTTATTTATGTTTCAAGAAAGAATTAAAGACAATTTTATTGGTTACATTTGATACACTAGAAGATGACAATGTCAAAGTGCCTAACCACCTCTAGGTTACCCTAAGCTACTTATGCCTCTAAAACCAATTGACCCAAAGAAAGAACCAGCTTACTGCTGGTTCATTTACATAAAAGATACAATTAATGAAATACCATTAATTTTCATTAGGCTATTATATGACTTTATGTAATTTTCAGGAACAATTTGTTTCTAAAATTTCAAACCATGAATACATAAAATGGTAATGTTTTCTATGTTTTCTTAGGTATCAGAAAACTCAAGCATAAGAATGTACCAGCAATTATTATTATTATTATTTTATTGACAACTTTTTAAATTCTTAGCTTAAAAAAATTATATTATATGATTTATGTATACTAGGTTCTCCACAGAGAACCTAGTTGTTTGAATTGAATTCATAAAAGACCACTGAGTAGAAAATCAAGATATCCTTCAGCATAATATAGAGAACTAAGATGAATTTTCAAATAGTGAAAAGTATTGCATTGCAAAGTAAGATAGTACCCATCTAGATGAAATTAGCATATGCTAGATCACTATATGTAGAGATTCTATAGGAAAGATTTCTGCAATAATGGGAAATTGAACTAGAAGACCAAGAAGATCCACTTACCCTCCAAAGCTCTGTTTCTGCAACCTCACCCTGGACAGAGCATCCCTCAGAGCCTGGTGGACCTGCTTGTTCCGCAGAGTGTAGATGACAGGGTTCAACAGTGGAGTCACCACTGTGTTCACAAGGGCAGCCGCCCTGTTGGAGTCCAGCCTATTTGTTTGCTTTGGTTTCACGTATATAAAGACACAGCTGCCGTACATCAGAGAGAGGACGATGAGGTGAGAGGAGCAGGTGGAGAAAGCTTTCTGTCGCTCCTTGGCTGATGGAAGTCGCACAATTGTGACCGCTATATTGCTGTATGCAATGATGGTTAAAATGAGAGATATCAGAATGACAAGCAGAGCAAGGAAGAGGACATATATTTCAACAGACCCAGTGTCAGAACAAGAGAGATGAATCAGGGAGCCGAGGTCACAAAAGAAATGAGAGATGACATTGGGGCCACAGAAGGATAACTGAGAAACCTTGAGCACCAGACCAGTGATCAAGATGAAGGACAAAGCATTGCAGAAGAAAGCCAGAAGGAAACTAACCCTCAGGTTCATGATGGCCGGGTAGTGCAGAGGTTTGCAAATGGCCAGGTATCGATCCAAGGACATCACAGCCATCAGGAAAAAAATTATTGACCCAAAAAACAGAAAAGAAAAGGCTTGTGTGAGACAAGAAGTAAAGGAAATTGTTTGCCTTCCTGAAAGAAAGATGGACAGCAGTTTAGGAATAACTGTGGTAATAAAACAGCATTCAGAGAAGGAGAAAGTGCTGAGTAAAATATACATTGGTGTCTGGAGGCGATGGTCAGCCCAAGTGATAATGATGATCACCATATTTCCTGTGATAGAGGCCAGATATGCCAGCAGATGCATCAGGAAGAAGATGTTCCCCAGGTACTGGATGGCAGGAAACCCTTCCAGAATGAATTCTTGGATTGTTGTCTCATTCCTCACCTCCATGTTTATCTCCATTTCTCTGTCATCAACTCTGTTGGATCTGTTAAACAGAAAACACTATCATCAAGTGATTCCTATCATCAAAGAATAAAAAATTTAAATCATGGCCACTATTAAAAAAATAACTACTACTTGCAGCTACAACTCTGAATGAGGGCTTATTTTGTATCATTTAAATGCTGTATTATAAAAGATTTTGAACTTTTTCTATTATTAAATTGTAAAAATTGAAGGCTTATTGTTTATTTTTGAAAATAAATTTTAATGTGCAACTTTACTTTTTTGGCAAATATTTTAATATTTTATTTATTTTTAAGACAGAGAGAGACAGAGCATGAGTGGGGATAGGGCAGAGAGAGATGGAGACACAGAATCTGAAGCAGGATCCAGACTCTGAGCTATCAGCACAGAGCCCAACGTGGGGCTTGAACTCAAACTGTGAGATCATGACCTGAGCCAAAGTCGGATGCTCAACCGACTGATCCACCCAGGCTCCCCGGAAAATATTTTTAATAAGTCCATAAGGTAAAGAATGCAAATTGAAAATTATTGTTTACACATAATGTATAAAACTAACAGATAACAATGAAGATTATCATCCCACAAAGAATATTTTTATGGGGTCACAGTTTTAATTTCTATACTTCAGGTACAATATGCAATATATGAAGCTGTCCTATGTACTGACTTCAGTCCTCTGGAAATAGAAACTGTGGGGGGGGGCACCTGGGTGGCTCAGTCGGTTTAGCATCCAATTCTTGATCTGGGTTCAGTTCACGATCTCACAGTTCATAAGTTCCAGCCCCACATCAGGTTCTGCACTGATGGTGTGGAGCCTGCTTGGGATTCTGTCTCTCTTTATCTCTGCCCCTCTCCCACTTGTGCACACTCTATAAATACATACATACATACATACATACATACATACATACGTACAAGAAAAAGAAAGAAAGAAAAGAAAAGAAAAGAAAAGAAAAGAAAAGAAAAGAAAAGAAAAGAAAAGAAAAAAGAAAAAGAAATTGGCAAGGAGATCGTTTTCCTATTAGCATGTTCCAAACCAGTTATTTTCCTGACCTGAAGTTTGTTCAGCCTGAGTTCTTTACCCAAGACCTTAAGAGAAAGCAAGAGAGTGTTATGCTAAGTGAAATAAGTCCTACAGAGAAAGACAGATACCGTATGTTTTCACTCTTATGTGGATCCTGAGAGACTTAACAGAAGACCATGGGGGAGAGGAAGGGAAAAAAAAAGTTAGAGAGGGTGGGAGGCAAACCATAAGAGACTCTTAAAAACTGAGAATAAACTGAGGGTTGATGGGGGGTGGGAGGGAGGGGAAAGTGGGTGATAGGCACTGAGGAGGGCACCTGTTGGGATGAGCACTGGGTGTGGTATGGAAACCAATTTGACAATAAATTTCATATTCAAAAAAAGAGTAAGGAGGAAACCTAGTTTATCACAATATCTCATAACTACCCAGTCTTTGGGTTTAAGAGAAACCACGTCTAAAGGTTGGGGGCTACAGGCATGGTTACATGACTTGGTTGTTCAGAATCAATGAATAAACATTTAATGGGTGAGTCAGTTTCCCTCTCACTCTACCCACCTGACAGAAAAATTCTTCCTTCTGCTCTTAGTCATAAATTACCCTTCAATATTGTTTTCTGGGAATATTTTTGTTACACCAGAAGATTTTGGTGTGATGGAATTACACCTGTATCCCCTTTGCAATCACTAGAGGAACATTGTTTTGTTTTGCTTTGTTTTGTTAATGCCAGTGTGTACCTAGAAGCCAGATGAATTGATATGTAATCTTTGGGGAACGAATCTGGGCATCCATTGGAAATCAGTGCTCTAGTGAGTAAGTCACCATAATTAAATTGTACTTTACTTAATTCTTTGATTTAGCTAAACCTATTACAGTAACTATGCATGACCCGCAATGCAAACTTAAACATAACAAGTCTCTGCTTTAAATATGTGACCTGTTAGGTTGCAAGTATCCTCATAGTCAAGTACTCACCAAGAAGCAGCTTACAGGAAACAGTTTCTTTGACAATATGCTTCTCTTTTCTTCCGACAAGCCAGGAATTTTCTCCTAGGCTAATGGAACGCAGGGTGGGGAAGAACACTCTTAAATGAGACGTACTTTTCCTTGAACTATTGAAGAAATCAATAAATGCCTTATGTCTTAAATTAATAGGAAATGATTAAGGCTGATTTTTTTTTCATGGAAGACAGAGATTTCTAAACTCTGGAGGATTGACAGTCATAGTTTTCCCCTATAGCAACTGGACTGATAAATCCTAGATCAAGACAATAGAAAGTATCACAAATATGCACCAGAATTTGCTGATGCAACCATTTAAAATTCCTGAACATATTTATATCCAGTCTATGGCATACGATGACCCAGTCCATCATAAACATCAAATTTGGTCAGTTATGCATCCATACCACAAGAAAGTCAGGAAGAAGAGACAACAAAGGTCACTTTCCTTTGGACTTGTTAGTCACTTTCCCATCAACCAGTTGCTCCCCACCTTTCAGAGTAGCTGAGGATCATTGCAGTCATAAATGAGAATACATTCAAATGCCCTGATGATATATTTACTACAGGATTATTTACCATCCCCAATGAGACACACAGGGTCCAAAAGGACAAACCTCTGGAACACTGAGAATTCATTTAGAGGAGTATGAAAAAAGGAAGCAGGAACTAAAATCATAAGAGTCCCAGAGGACATTTAATTGTCCATATTTGGAAATGAGAAATTTCAGCAGAAATATAACATAATTGCCATTTCACTGCATATGGTAACATACAACTGTCATTACCAATAGCCCACACAATTCTTTGTACAAGTCTTCAAAGGTATATTTTCCATGAGTGGTCTAGAGTCGTAAAATTTACAAAATCCCGAATTACATATGTCAAGAAAGACAAGCTTAAATTTTTACAATTGTCTTTGCTTGTTTCCCTTTTTAACTTGGTATTTTATTGAATGAGGTATAATTTACATTCTGTAAAATGAACAAATTTTAATTGTACAGGTTGATAATTTTCTAAGTATATAAATAGCCATGTAACCACTGTTCAAATCAAACTATAAAACAGTGCCCTCCTTAATACCATCACCCATTTAGCCCATCCCCTGTCCACCTCCCCTCCAGCAACCCTCAGTTTGATCTCTATAATTAAGAGTCATTCTTATGGTTTGCCTCTCTTTTTTCTCTCTCCATATATTCATCTGTTTTGTTTCTTAATTCCACATATGAGTGAGATCATATGATATTTGTCTTTCTCTAACTGACATATTTCACTTAGCATAATACACACTGGCTTCATCCACATAACTGCAAATGGCAAGGTTTCATTCTTTTTTACGGCTAATATTCCACTGTATATATATATACCGTATCTTCTTTATCTGTTCATCAGTCTATGGACATGTGGGCTTTTTCCATAATTTGGCCACTGTTGATAATGATACTATAAACATCAGGGTGCATGTATCCCTTTGGATAAATATTTTTGTATCATTTGGGTAAATACCTAGTAGTGCAATTTCCATGTACACATGAAAATAATGTGTATCTTCAGGTGCTAAATATAACAATCTACAATTATCAATTAAGTGCACTTAGTTGATAGTCATGCAAATCTCTGTGTACTGATTTTTTTGTCTGTTTGTTGTATTAATTACTGAAATAATGATGTTAAAACCTCTATATTTGTGGATCTTTTTACTTTAGTTCTTCCAACTTTTCTTTCATGAATTTTAAGCTCTATCATTATGTAAATATACATATAAAATTATGTCTTCCTGGTGATTTCATTTCTTTATCATTATAAATTTACCTCTTAATCTCTGAAAATACACTGTGAAGTCTATTTTTTTAATATATATTACTATGGTCACACAAGCTTTCTTTTGCTTGATGTTTCTTGGAATTTCTTACTGTATATATTTAAATGTTATTCTTATAACCAGCACATTGTAAGGTCTTCCTTTTTACCCAATGTAGTTCTCTCTCTCTCTCTCTCTCTCTCTCTCTCTCTCTCTGTCCCCTTTTTTAATTGGAGTGCTTAGTCCATTTACATGTAATGTCATTATTATAAGGTTAGATATAACTCTACCATCTTTTTATTTTTGAGAGAGAGAGAGAGAGAGAGAGAGAGAGAGAGAGGAGAGGGGTAGAGGGAGAGGGAGAAACAGAATCTTAAGCAGGCTCCACACCCAGCATTGAGCCTGATGCAGGGCTTGATCTCATGACCATGAGATCATGACCTGAGACAAAATCTAGAATCAGTCACTTAACTGGCTGAGCCACCCAGGTGCCCTAACTACCATCTTGATGTTTCCTTTTATTTGTCCCCTGCTATATATTTCATATTCTTCTTTCCTATTTTCTTTTGAATTCACCATGCATTTTTAATATTGCATTACAATCAGCTCTATTATCTTTTAAACAGCTTTAAGTGATCATTGATATAAATGGACATATTTAAAGTGTATAATTTGATACATTTTGGCATGTTATTTTTTTAATGTTTTGGGTTTTTATTCAAATTCCAGTTAGTTAACATATAGTGTAATATTAGTTTCAGGAGTAGAAATTAGTGATTCATCACATACATACAACACCCAGTGCTCATCACAACAGTGCTCTCCTTAATCTCCATCACCCATTTAGCCCATTCCCCACCTATAACAACCCTCAGTTTGTTCTCTGTAGTTAAGAGTCTCTTTTATGGTTTGCCTAAGAGAGCCATATTGTTTTAAGGGCTTCGTGATGGGTTTTGAGTTCAGTCAGGGTAATGAAATGCTTTATCGCTGGAACAAATTGTACATCTACCCTGGATCATTTGGGATTGTCTTCTTTTCTGGATGGGTCATAATTTCTGGATTGTTTTTCTCAAACTATGTGTGGTCTGGGTAAGCCTTCTTCATAAGCTTCACAAATTCTGTGATATCTGGCTCTTTGCAGTTGCTATGGTAGAAGGTTTCTCCCCCCCC